GAACTTTGAGGGACTGTCAAATTTTGTAACCAAGTGAGGAATGGCACAATCTTATGTTCTCATTCGTTTACATATCACTCCACATGAGTGCCCAAGAATTACAGATTACAACAGCATGCCTGTGACGTTTTATCTTGCCGGCGTGCCAAGTTAGCTCAGTTTGGCATTTCGAGCCTGGTACATGCTAAAAAAGCAACCAATTTACCAGACTAAGAAGCAGCAATAATATTTATTTTCTCCTATTAGTCCCATAATAACATAAGACGCTTATGTCAAGCCCAAGAAGAAGCAGGGAATGATAAATTTCCAACAAAAATATATGCTGGTTCTTTCTATCTATAACAGATATATGCAGAAAGCGCTTATGAGAGCAACAGAACCAGAGGCTCACCTTCTCAGCAGTTCTACGATTCGGTCTCCAGATATAATGGAAGAATCCTCGCCAGTTGAGATCCTTGTGATGTACGGCTGGACCACATCATATGTCACTACTGGGACGTTTCTCTTGAAGGTGGATGTGTTTGTGGATCTATTCATGAATTTGCTCAAGTACTCACTAGCTTGGTTCCTCTCAAGGATTTTTGTCAGTATAAGCTGTTGGGCTTCCTTGGCATTCACTGTCAGCATCTCGAGCTCTTGAAGAGCGTCGCTTTGCTTGCAGCCTAACTCATTATTGTCCATGATACAAGCAAAAGAAGGATCAGAAATGGACTTTAACTTGAAGAGGAGGGAAGGGCTCAAAGTAATATCTTCTGGAGCTTGTTTGCCCCTTATATAATGCGATGTGCATGATCATGAGAAGCATATCTGCTTAATATTTCCACTTTACAAGAGAGATTCTTACCCAATTAGAAAGTGCAGCCCATCTGCCCGTGTAAGATGATCCACTTACTATCTTTCTGGACATGACAGTATGTTTCAATATTTCTGGAACCCGCACTATTATTTTTCTACTGAAAAATGTAACGCAAAACAATGAAATGCTGAAATTTTATCAAGTTGTGTGCACTCCAATATCCATTACCTCATTTTGTCTTGTGACATGAAACTCCACCTGTTTACCAATTACCATTATGCACCTTTTAGGAATTACATCTCATTTTTCCTTGACAAAACCATGTAAAGATATGTCAGCCTTGAAATACATCTAGAAAGCGATTAGAACATGTGTGACACATAGTGATTCGAAAAAAAAAGTAGTATGCTTAATTAACCAGTGTACATGATCGCATGGTTGCAAATATTAAAAAATGTAGGCCAAAAAGGCTAGAAACAAGTTGAAGTTCCCAGAAAGCGATTAGAACATGTGTGACACATAGAGATTCGAAGAAAAAAACAGTAGTATGCTTAATTAACAGGTATAAATGATAGCATGGTTGCAAATATTATAAAAATCTAGGCCAAAAAGGCTAGAAACAAGTTGAAGATCCTAGCAATGGTGCAAAAAAAGTGCCCTCATATGGTCCATCTTTTTGTATTTAGTATGATCTGATACAAATTGAGAGGAGACCATATCATAATTGTATAGGTGAGTTGTACCATGATGTCTCCTCATTTGTAGACATTCCACATAAACGCAAAGCTCTAACCTATATAACTGGCTATTTAACAATTAACATCGTCTGAGGGACAGGATAACCTGGTAGGAGTAGCATTGGGTCGACTGACTCTGGCACTCTTACATACTCTTCCGGAGTACAGAGTAGAGACCCTCTGCTTGTGCATAATACTGCAACTTGTTACCAGATCTATGCAAGAATGGTGCAAAATATTAAGGATCTCACAATCGTGAGCAGAAAGAGAAAAAGGAAAGCATTAAAAACAAACTTGATGCTTCCCCATGGGCCTGAGCATCATCGCAAAATATCTGTGGACCTTTTCAGGTGCACATGGAGAGACAAGGATAATCGGTTAACCAAGCTAAAGTTACCAATAATGCTCCTAAGAACACATATCATGTACAGCCATCATATAGGATCACACGCAACCAGGGGCAACCAAGCATCACAGTAAGGTGAGCAGCATCGAAGATAAGAGTGCATTTTATCCACTTCTAAATTATACTGGAGAAGTTGTATCGAATAGGAATGCTTCATCTAGAATACAAAACACTATGAGGTCGAACTACATGCTTAACTTTGTTTTGTAAATTATAGCACCATGAGTACTTGCAGGGGATCAAAACTAACTAGGTCCCAAGTTCGATTTAGCCAATATAACTTTTGGCCATAATCAAATACCAAATGCAATGCTACATGCATGCCAACTAGAAGCATCCAAGAAAGGTTACTGTTGATGTTGAATTGATGGATAGTCCCCTTGTCTATTTCTCTCAATTGGAGACCAAATTCCGCCCTACGGAAGCAAGAAATCCGTACCATACGTTAGCCTATTCCAAAAGGTGACATAGACGGAATAAGCGCGTACACAACAATTTGCAGGCATGGTGGCTGTTTGTGATATTCTCTAGTCAACTCAGGATAAAGGGTGTGCTTTCACAGCTTGCGGATGCTCGCCGCATATGGTGCACTGCCTATTGTGGTTTCTTGCTCCTCATCCATTAACTATGTACGGAAAAGGGGAAACATTGCACAGATTCTTTGCTAAAGTCGCAATGCTAAAAAAAAAAAGTTAAGCTGTACGATCTCTTGTAACCTTGTCCTTGCCGTATAACCTCCTTACATTCCCTGGTCCTCGTCCCTGTGAGAGATCATCTCGCCTTCTCACTTGGCGAAAGAAAACTGACACAGATGTCCTCTTGGAAGCGGCCAACCAGCATCCACCATGAACACAACAAGGACATGTGCAAGAAATGAACCTATACTCGACAGCTGTAAACCTTACACGGTTTTGGGGTTCTGTCATTCCATCGAACACTTGGTGGGCACGGCATTAAAGAAGAAGAAAGCAATCTTCATCCCAAAAGCAAAAAGGAGTAAATCTTTGTGTATATTTGTTCTCTGGAATAAATCGCTCAAGTCAACATCATCCTAAAGCCAAGCATTTACAAAATATCTACGTCTAATCTCCATGCCTCCAAAAGTTGTTCAACAAAAACAGCGCCGCTAAATCAACTTAGAGAAACAGCGCCGCCTGGTGTCTACAAATCAACCAGAGTTGTAAAGCTATGAGAAAAATATAAAATACTAACGAGATTAGATTGATCGTGGATGCCACATTGCCACCATGAGGAAACAAGGGAGGGAGGCAAATAGAGGATGGCACTTTCATGATGGAGGTGTGGGCATGCTTGGGGGGATGCACTGTGCTTTTGGAGAAATATACATGCTCACCTTTTTGTGTTCCTTCTTTCCGTCAAGAACAACAGTAGAGGCCTGGACTATCTCATGCTTGCTTGCTCAGTGTGTGTGGCTGCCCCCTATCTGACCTAGCCCAACCTAGCCTAGTAGCATTTCTTTGGAGGAGGATGGTGGATTGGTGGATGGTGGGGGACATCAAGGAAGGAACTACACATCTTCCTATCCACTGCTATGTAGGAGAGCACCTACAGCTGCAACTTGGATTTTTGTGTGTGCACCAATGGCTGGATCTTTCTTCAACAGCCCAACACACTTTTGTAACAAAAGGTAGGAGCGAGACTCTCTGCTTTGGGTGGATGGTGCTCACAACCTTGTGGTGCACAGTGTACTCAATGTCTCCCAACAGTCAGCTTGCTTTGCTGCTGATACTTGGCAAAACACAGCAAACCATCTAGAAACAAAATTATGTGAATTTTATCTACCGGGGGCTCATGATGTTCTAACAGGGTTTCTTCTGACTTCTAAACGCAGTATGTATTTTCCTGTGAGCCTTCTGTTTTTCAAATAGCTCATCAGGCTACATCAAGAATCAACAATAGTACGTTGCTTTTGCACATTTGCTTAAGATTCTATAAATAGGTAACATTGATATGGTTTTGCCAAACAAATATGTGGATTTATTCATGCTTGGAATAAGCCACTGGTTGCTGGCTAATGATGATTATATTTAGATGCGCAACAATCTTGCCCATTTTTATGGATCTCCCCCGTGTTTTTTCATCATGGTTTAGTTTGTAAAGAGACTTCTAGAGCCGATGGCAATTAGAGAAACATATAACAGCAAACAGCCCCTTCACCAAATTATTGGAGAAAGCAAGCACAATAATCCAAGAGAGCCATAAGAGCAGCGACTAAAATGCATTTAAGAATTCAGGCACATTGCCAGGAAGCATATTACACCAAGTCTAGTGTTTCCTCTTAGAAACATAGACCATTCATGGACAAAGATATAATGATTCTTCAAGTAAGGTTTCCATAAGCACTGCGTGCAGTCCACGGTTTTATCATAGACCATTCATAGGCAAAGCATAAACACCCATAACAGATTCCTCAAAAAAGGTTTAAAGCGGTTTCATAAATATCCATCCTAGCAAAATCTGCCACGCGGAACTCATCTACTGCTTGATCTCAGCCCTCTTCTGCTGCCAGAGCCTGTCCAAAGAACCATCAGCATCACCCTGCAAGGCAGATGGTGTAAGAACCAATGACAGAGTTGCAGCAACAATCATGTATGAATTAAGATCTCACCACCACTTAATCAAATCAGTCATTATCGTCGTACAGAGTAGCCGCAAGAATACAGTAATAACCGATGCAAACAGAAAACAAGTGTACAAGGATAGCAATACACTGTATGACCAGTAGAAAAAGAAAACGTTTCAGCCAGTCAAGTTACCAATATTCATGCACAACTGACCAAGTATATCTGTACATGTAATTCAGATGTTAATAGGGTTCATCTAAACATCATGATTTTCGAATGCTTGATTTTATTTTTGTCATTTTGGTTCTGGAGAATCTCAAATTGTGTCACATATGTAAAACATGTATAACTGCAGATAAAAGAAGCTTGAAGCGAATTAGAGAATGAACCTTCAATTTGAGTGGGCAAACAGTTTCATGCTACTGATCTCATAACAAAAACCATCTTCAATAACTATTAATACTAATTTACTGTTATCATGGAATGTTTTGCTTAGAAGAAAAATTACTGCTGAAACTCAAGGACTCAATGTGTGCAGAATAGAGAATACTAAAGAGTTACTGGTTTGACCAATGCAAAGGATATCTTAACAAACTACTGACAGCATGTCAATGTCATGATAAATATTATTCCAATCAGCTAGACAGGCAAAAAGAAAACAACCCATTTCGTGAGAACAATCAGAACATGGAGAATCTGGATCACTCACAGTGTGCTTTAAGACAAATAAATGGGGTCAGGATAGCAAGGGTAAAACACCTGGGCGCGGACGAATCCAGAGAGGGCAAACGTGGTGAAACTGCCATTATACAGTCCATTCGCATCCACATGCCCGATGTTGATCTGGACAGAGGCATGGTCCTTGGCAGTTATGATCCTGTTGGTGGCAGAGCTGCAGGAACCAATACAAAGCAAGAATGAGCAAGGTTGCAATGCCACAGTACTGTAACCAAGACGACAATACATCAATACGTACCACTTCCTTGGGACATAGAGGTCCACCATATCACCCACCTCGTTCTGCATAATGGGGACTGGAGGGATACTGGGACACTGCTGCAGGTCATCGAAGAAACACATTCATATTTAGCAGTGAGACTAGTTGCAAAGGACACTATGGTATAAAGATGATATATATAACTATAAAAGCTAGTTCCATAGATCAAACCCAGATACAAGGATGACTGTGAACTCTCCTATGGTTTATTCCAAATAGTACAGCTGCTGTCAACAGTACGCAACTGCGCAAAATAGCTAAAGAAACCAGACCCCTTGCGGCCAAACAGGAAAATGGTCCAATCCCATTCAAGAATGTTTTACCAAAATGATAAAATATGTTTTATCAGTCACGTTGATCAGTACCCTGACCCTGCACCAGGCAAGCATGTTTTTTGAATAAAAACCAGGCAAGCCTAGTAGGAGCCATTGATCCAAAATAACAGGATTTGGGCGTCAATTTGGCAAGGCATGAACAACTTTACATGAATGATAAAAGATGGATTGGACATTTAGCCAAATACATACGTGCAATGCTTTAGAAAGCAGAACACCCACCTGAACCCATCAAAGAAATTCGCCCAAACACCCAACCAGCCTATAATCTGCTAGGTTTTATACGAAGTAGTTATGAGCAACGACCACACGCATTCTCAGTGAAATCAATCGCAACCAAACAACTACCACTGTCCACTGGCACTAAGCGATTGGTACCTCATTATGAAAAATATCTAAGATTACAGCCAAAAACCCTATCTCCTCCGCTCTGGCATCCTCTGGGCATCGAACGGGAGTGCAATCGCAGCAGCCGAACCATACAGATCACGCGCATAAAATTCTAGCGGATGCTAATCGTATAAATGTAGGACACAAATCATCCCCGGATACAGGTCCGGCGATAACTCGACGGCCAATTAAGACGGAGCGAGATTTTCAAGCGCAAACAGTGGATAGATTTGGGGAGGATGGGATCGCGACGTACCTCGGTTAAGGGGGGAGATGGACGGGTGCGGCGGCGGCGGAGCTGTGATGGGCTGCGGAGAGGGATGAAGCGGTGGCCGGATTCGGATTTATACCAGGCATAAACCCTAGGTTTTTTTTTCTCCGCGCGTGCGGGATTTCCACGGCACTTGCACGGACATTTGGGCCCAATGGACCTTCGTCATCGGGCCATTCGTCGTTT